GGACCGTCGGGGGGGGTGGGTCTCCCTCTCCACAGGGGGTCTGCGCCACGTCCCCGCAGAGGACCCGCGAGGCCTTCTTGCGCTGGGCAGCGCCGCATCTCCCCGCCGTCCACGCCCGGATAGTGATGCTCCTCCTCTCGAAGCCTCGTGCCACGTCCCCGTTCGGGAGGTCCAGCGTTGGGCGGCGCGTCACCTCCACGCCACCCACGCCCAGATGGTATGTTTGCCGCGGGCACGCGCGGGATCTCAGGTGATCTCGCTTGAGGGTCCGTGTGTGTGTGTGTGTGTGTGTGTGTGTGTGTGGAAAGTTCCTCCCTCCTGCATGGTGACACATTTCGCTTAACGCCTGCCCCGCTTCGCTCCTTTCGCCAGCGCAGTCACTTTGCCTAGCCTCCGACGCAAAGGTGTGTGTGTGTGGCCTCTTGGGGGCCTCTTGGGAGCCTCTTGGAGCCCTGTTGGGCGCCTCTTGGGGCTGTCTGGGCGCCTGCTGCGGCCCTCTTGGGGCGCTCTTGGGAGCTTCAGGGGCACTCTTGGGGCCATCTTGGAGGACATCGATCAAAGCAGAGGGGAGCTTTACTTAGGGTCCCCCCTCGGGAGCCCCAGCCGTCGCCTCTTGGGCCCCTCTTGAGGCGCTCTTGGAGCGCTCTTGGGCGCTCTTGGGGCCGTCTCGGGGCTCTCTGGTGCCCCTCTTGGGGCCATCTTGGGCCGAGGCCTCGGAAGGCCATCGGAAGCGAAAAGGCGAGAAAGCAAAACACATTGATTTTCCCACGCTGTGGAAGAATTTTGGCCTCTTCGGGGCCACCTTGGAGCTCTTTGGCGACGTGGAGCCGTCTTGGAGCGGTCTTGGGGCCTCTTGGAGCATCTTGGGAGCCATCTTGAATCATCTTGGGATATCTTGAGCCATCTTAAAGTTCATCTTGGGTTCTCCGAGGCGCTCTTGGAGCCATCTTGGGCCATCCTGGACGCTTCAACCCCTCGCGGGACCCCTCGTCCAGGGCCAATGAGGGGGTAGGGGGAGGGGCAAACCCTTCTCCGAAGGGCAAGCGGGAGGGGTGGAAGAGGAGACGCCCTAGACCACCTACGCCCTGATGCAACTTCCTAGCCCCCCTGATGTTGACTCTCACGGGAGCGCGGGGAGGGAGCCGGCGCGCCCGCTGCAAGAATGGAAGTCCAGCGCCACCCTGCTCAGCGTGGGGGAGGCGACGCAGTGCTACGCCGAGCGGGGCGGGACCGCCGGCGCAGCAGGAGGGATCAGGAGGAGGAGGAGGATGAGGAGGAGGAGGGAGGAGGAGGAGAATGAGAAGGAGGAGAAGGATTGTCGAGGCTGTCTCTTCAGACACGGGTAAAGTATTTCCATGATCATATCCCAACGTGATGTTTTCGACAATGAACAACTCCACCGCCAACGCAATTCGTTTACATGTCCTCAGAATCTCCCCATTGCACCGAGCTCATTTTCACAGCAATCCTTCTATTGTCTGCAACATACTGCTACGGTGCGCGGTATACCAAGCGCAAGATTTGCAACAAAATGATACGTCACGTGCCACACACCGAGGAGGAGGAGGAGGAGGAGGAGGAGGAGGAGGAGGAGGAGGAGGAGTTGCACCAGTGCAAGCCCCATGTGCATTAACGATGGTGCATTCACGATGTTGCAATTCAGCTGCGTACAGGAATTCGCTCTCATTGCGGGTATTGGCCCATTAGAAGACAACCGTCTGAGAATCTTCAGTCATGCCAAACACCAGTTCTGGGACTACATCGCGGCGCTAATGCGAGAGCCACAATTGGAAAACGTCCCGCCCTCTATGTTTGATGCTACTGCAAGCTTTTAAGACGAATGTGCGCGGTGATAGCTCGATAACCGCATCTGGAGCATTATCCGCTCTCCATCCTTGATTCTGTTGCAAACTGTTAAGACGGATATGCGCGGCGCTTGGGCGAGAGCCTCGTTTTGAAAACGACCCGCCCTCCATCCGTGAAGAAGTTGCGAATTTCAAAAACCTCTCCTCTTGGACGCCCCCGACCGTTGCACGTCGTGGTCGCCGTCGTCGTCCCACGAGCATCGTCGATTGTAGTGTGCTGGCCTGCTGCCAGGCTGCTCCGTCGTCGTAATGTAAGCAAGGATGGACGGGCTTCACCTGGGCACGGGAGTCGGCTGTGCAATGCCCCATTCTGCGAAAGCGTCGAACGTTGCTGATCCTCCTCGTCCCATGATTTTTTCCCAGCCATCCTGTGGTGGTGGGTCCTCGTTTTGAAAAGACGGTGCCCAGAGTTCCTCTCTCTTGTCCTCTCCTCTCCTCTCCTCCCCTCCTCCCTCCTCCCTTCCCCCTCCTCCCCCTCCTCCCTCCTCCCTGCGTTTCACCCACCCAATACAACATTTCATGGCCCCATAGGGAGCCCCACCGAAGGTCCCAGTGCTACCGCCCGCACGCGCCCCGCACACCCAGTACAGCGTTTCGTGGCCCCCTCCTCCCTCCTCCCTGCGTTTCGCCCACCCAGTACAACGTTTCGTGGCCCCATAGGGAGCCACACCAAAGGTCCCAGTGGGACCGCCCGCATGCGTCCCGCACGCCCAATACACCGTTTCGTGGCCCCCTTTTCCGTCCTCCTTGCGTTTTGCCCACCCAGTACAGCGCTTCGTGGCCTCATTGTGAGCCCCACCGAAGGTCCCAGTGCTACCACCTGCATGCGTCCCGCATGCCCAGTACAGCGTTTTGTGGCCCCGTCCTCCCTCCTCGCTGCGTTTCACCCACCCAGTACAAGGCTTCGTGGCCCCATAGGACACCCCACCGAAGGTCACAGTGGGACCGCCCGCATGCGCCCCGCACAACTTGTACAATGTTTCGTGGCCCCTTCCTTCCTCCTCCCTGCGTTTCACCCACCCAGTGCAGCGTTTCGTGGCCCCATGGGGAGCCCCACCGAAGGTCACAGTGGGACCGCCCGCATGCGCCCTGCACGCCCAGTACAGCGTTTCGTGGCCCCCTCCTCCGTCTTCCCTGCGTTTCACCCACCCAGTACAGCGTTTCGTCGCTCCAAAGGGAGCTCCATCGAAGGCCCCGGTGCCACCGTCCGCATGCGTCCCACACACTCACTTTCTGGCATTTTTGCCCACCCAGTACAGCGTTTCGTGACCCCAGAAGGAATTCCACCGAAACCCCAATGGGACCGCCCGCATGCGTCCCACACGATTAATTTGGCATTTTCACTTGCCCCGTGCAGCGTTTCGTGGCTCCATAGGGGGCCACACCGAAGCCCCCAGTGGGACCGTCAGTGTGCGCCCCGAAAACCGAATTTGGCATTTTCACCCACGCAGTACACCGTTTCGTGGCCCCATAGGAAGCTCCACCGAACCCCCCAGTGAGACCGCCCGCATGCGTCCCGAAAACCAGATGTAGCATTTTCACCCACCCAGTACAGCGCTTCGTGGCCCCATAGGGAACTCCACCGAAGGCCCCAGTGCCACCGTCCGCATGCGTCCCACACACACACACACACCAAATTTCGCATTTTTTCACCCACCCAGTACAACGTTTCGTGGCCCCATAGGGAGCTCCACCGAAGCCCCCAGTGGGACCGCCCGCATGCGTCCAGAAAGCCAAGTTTGTCCAGAAAACCAAATTTGTTTTTTTGTCATCCACCCAGTACAATGTTTCGTGACCCCATAGGAAGCTCCACCGAAACCCCCAGTGGGACCGGCCGCATGCGTCCCGAAAAACAAATTTGGCATCATCACCCGCCCAGTATAGCGTTTCGTGGCCCCATAGGGAGCTCCACCGACGGCCCCAGTGCTACCGCCCGCATGCGTCCCCCCAACCCAGTGCAGCGCTTCGTGGCCCCATAGGCAGCTTCACCGAAGAAGATATTCACAATTGCGGTACCCACAGCTGCAAATGGTTGGGTCCTTTGCCAGGATACTTATGTTTGTTATTGTTGTCTCTCCTCTTGTTACACATGTTTGTGTATGGTGTATACAATTCGATGTATGCATGTATATGGGTATGTTTTTGTATATATGTATGTATGTATGTATGTATGTATGTATGTATGTATGTATGTATGTATGTATGTATGTATGTATGTATGTATGTATGTATGTATGTATGTATACATGTATGTATGTATGTATGTATGTATGCATGTATGTATGTATGTATGTATGTATGTATGTATGTATATATGTATGAATGAATGAATGAGTGTATGTATGTATGTATGTATGTATGTATGTATGTATGTATGTACGTATGTTTGTATGTGTACATGCATCTATGTATGTATGTATGGATGGATGGATGGATGGATGGATGGATGGATGTGTGTATGTATGCATGTATCCTTTTTGTGATATCTTCTATTCTGGAACCGTGCGAAAACAGGAGGTCACCATGCCAACCTTGTCCTTGGGGACGTAGGTTCAGCTCCCTGTGGGGTGTGATCCCCGCGAGGTGTGTGCCGACACGAGAACACACGCGCTAGCCGAGCCTGTCTCCGGTGCCGCAGGTGGAGCTCCCTTGGGGGCACGACCCGTGTGACAATCGATGGCCTCCAATACCGCACATGTCAGGCTGCAACTAGAGCTTGCTGGAACCTAAGCGCGCGCGACGCGCGCGTGGTTCTAGTACAGCTACATATACGCACACATAGATTTATGTATGTATGTATGCATGTATGCACCTGAATGTATGTGTATACGTACGTACGTACTCTATATGTGTGTAAGTATGGATGCAGGCGTGCATGTATACATGTATGCATGCATGTACGTACATAATTCTTACTGTTTGGGACTGCTCTCGGTCGCGCGTCAGCGTCTCAGTGACTGCAAACGATGCAGTTGAACATGGTATGCACAGTGGTTCGGCTGCGTCGGACTAGAGGACATTCGCCCACATCGTGACAGACAGGTCATACTATAACGCTGAACTCTGAACTCTGACATTGTCTTTCGTTGCAAGGGTATAAGCTGGCTGGACGGTTGTTTTGCTGGGAAAGCGGACAAAAAGAAAGAGGTGCATGTGTGTGCTGTCAAAAATCAAACAAAGATTTTAATCGGAGGTTGGGGGGTGAGATCGAAGTGGAACGGAGAGCCCCCCACCAGGAAATCGGTTTCGGTTTCGTGTTCGTGCCGTGCGTGCCGGCGAGGCGAAGCTGCGTGGGCGGGCGAGAGGAATGAACCCTCCATTGCTAGGGCGCCGCCGAGAGGCACGCGGATGCCGGGGGTGTCCCGCCGTGGTGTCCTGTGGTGTGCCGTGGTGTCCCGCGGTGTCCCGTGGTGTTCCGCGGTGCCCCTATGGGGTCTGATGTTGTCCCGATGGTGTTCCGGTGGTGTCTCTCGATGGTGTTCTGGTGGTGTCCCTGTTGGTGTTCCGATTGGTGTCCCGATGGTGTCCCGATGGTGTCCCCGTGGTGTCCCGATGGTGTCCCGGAGGTGTCCCGATTGGTGTCCCGATTGGTGTCCCGATGGTGTCCCGATGGTGTCCCAGTGATGTCTTGGTGGATTGGTGTTCGATGATGTCTCGGAGGTCCCGATGGTGTATTGGTGGTGTCCCGATGGTGTCCTGGTGGTGTCCCGATTGGTGTCCCGATTGGTGTCCCGATGGTGCTCCGATGGTGTCCTGATGGTTTCCCGATGGTGGCCCGACGGTGTTCCGCGGTGTCCCGTGGTGTCCCGATGGTGTCCCGATGGTGTTCCGATGGTGCCCCGATGATACCCCGATGGTATTCCGATGGTGTCTTGGCGGTGTCCCGATGGTGTCCGGAGCCGCCGTGTTTCGCCACGGTCACCACCATCACCAACAGCATCACCACCAGCACTACCATCACCACCGCAGCTGTCTGGCTCAAGCAAGCACTTCGCTTCGTCTCAATCGCCATCATGCGTTCTCACCATGATCGTCATCGTCGTCGTGCATCGTCGCCAACTCGTGAGCGCATCATCAGCATCGTTCCCATCACAATCATTCGCAGTTGTCATCAGTTGGTCCCTTCCCCCAACCTCCTTATCACCCGAAGGGTGGTCGTATGGGTACATCTGCGATGCACGTGTAGTGCAAAACCAATGCACATGGAAGACATGTCCAAAACACAGGGCGGGAGTTTATGGCCACGACACATCAGCGCAACCCATGGCTCAAGTCATGGGCCGGACCCCACGGGCGGGACCCCGTGAGCACGACAAATCAGCGCCACCTATGGCGCAACCCATGGACAGGACCCGACGGCGGCAAAAAGCCAGGCTTACCCAAGGCGCAACCCAATGGTGGGCCTCCCTGGGCGGGACGCTGCTGCCACGTTCAAGCAGCGCCACCCATGATGGAGTCATTGGCGCCACCCAGGGCGGAGCCCCACCAAATTTGTGCCACACCGTGCCCCGGTCTTCACGGCGCTGAAGGAAGAAGACCATTTCGCAGGTATTGTTTGAGAAAGGTCTCAGATTTTGTTCGGTGCACGGTCTTCTTCCTCAGCAACCGGCTCTGTCTTGAAGCGGTTGTTTCACATGATTGCTTCCCCCACAGCCGCTTCCTCTCTGGCTCCCTTTTCCAGTCAAGGAACTGTCACTCATCAGTCATCATGCCAGACTCGTATCACAGTTTTCTGTCAAGGCGCTAAACAGAGGTCTTTCCAGCTTGTTCCACTCCGCATGATGTCACAGACAGCCAGCCAGCAAGGGCTGTGAACATAGAAGAGTGCCGAGAGTGAGTAAGCCGGTCGTCGGCGTCGACCGCCGTCGATCGCTGCCGCCATCGTCGCCAACACTTCCGTGCGCCTAGCGTCGGGCTCTTTTTTCACAACGTGGCTTCTGGAGGTCAGCACCCCTTCTTCGGGACCAGCTTCGCAGCCTGACCTGCTTGTGGCCTGTCCCGGGGCAGGGTGAGGGCCGCCGGAGGCCGAACGCCGCCGAAAACCGCCCGCCGGGTTTCTCTGTTCACGTCGCAAGGGTGCCATGGTGTTTCGCGTGCCCCTCGGCCCGGTGGCATCTGGGCCTCCCCAATGGGGTCCGAGCAGGTGGGATCAGAGCATCGCGCCGCATCGCCAATGCATCGGCGATGCGGCTCGATGTGGAGCCCGATTCTCTCTACGCCGACGGCCCCGAAGCATCGCCGACGTTGCCGATGCCTTACCGATGTATCGGCGACGCATCGGCGATGCGGCGCGATCCTCCGACCCCATCCGCTTGGACCCAGTCTGGGAGGCCTCCGGTGGCATGCCCCGCCGAGGACGGACGCTTGCGAGGGCGGCGGCGACCCAGCCGTCACCATGAGGCAGGCGGCAGGGCAGCAGACGGCGCAGGCAGCGCCCGCTGCCGCCGCGCTCGGGGTGCCTACGGATGCCGCCGCCCAGACACGGCCAGGGCCTGGCCAGGACCGTGCCAGGACCGTGGTGGCCGCCGTCGTCGCTCCCTGAGATCTTCGACTGCGCGTGGGAGTGACCCCTCTCCGGAGGGACCTTGTGGTGCGGGCCCGCTGGGGCTCCCGATCGCTGAATGCGGTGCGATAGCAGCGGCCTGCGCGCTTGGGTTTGGCCCCCTCGCGCCCCCCGCAAGAGCGCAAAGGCTGCGCACCAGCGGTCACTCTTGCCCAGGGTCACTCTCACGTGCAGCCGAGATCCGGGCGCTGCGTTGTTTCACACCCGGCGTTTTCCGCTGGTTTCGGGCCTCGGGGCCATCACAGATCTATCCGGCTCGAAAGGAGCTGGAGAAAAGTCGGGTCTAGGGCTTGAGTCGTGATGCATTCGCGGTGTTGCATTTTCCTCGCAACGTCGGATGTTAAGTGTTTCTAGGTGCTGTGCTTATGTGGTGTGCTTACCACGCCCTCTGGACTTTTCCTTGCGGGCCGCAGATCAAAGAAAATTATGTGGTGTGCGATCGCCGATCCCGTCCGGGTGTTTCCAGGAGCGGCCCTGGCCCAGGGTGACCCCAGCTTCCCCAGGGAGCAGGGAGGCGCAGGTGGCTTCCAGAGCCCTCCTCACGAGGCCCAAGCTGGGAGCATTTTGGGCCAGGACCACTTCTAGCAACAGCAGACTGGTACGTATTTGCGAACGTAAGAGCTGTTCTCCCTTGTTTCCTCAGGTCAGCCAGGCTGCCCGCGGCAGAGGGTTCTTGCAAGAGGGGGAGGAGGAGGAGGAGGAGGAGGAGGAGGAGGAGGAGGAGGAGGAGGAGGAGGAGGAGGAGGAGGAGGAGGAGGAGGAGGAGGAGGGGGAGGAGGAGGGGGAGGGGGAGGGGAGGAGGAGAAGGAGGAGGAGGAGGAGGAGGAGGAGGAGGAGGAGGAGGAGGAGAGAGAGGAGGAGGAGGAGGGAGGAGGGAGGAGGAGGAGGAGGAGGAGGGGGAGGGGAGGAGGAGGAGGAGGAGGAGGAGGAGGAGGAGGAGGAGGGGTTGGGGGAGGGGGAGGGGGGCGAGGGAGATAGGAGGTACACAGATGAACCATTGACGCACTAAATGCTTCGATTTCCCATACGTGCTCTGGCCCTTGCACCGCCCAGTGCATGGCTTGCCTGTCGGTCTGCCGTTCGTTTCTTGGTGTCGCCGTCGCTTCTCGCCGTCGTTCTCCCGTCTTCCGTCGCCCATGCGCCGCCTGGGCGCGCGCGGGCACCCCCTGCGCGGGCACCGGCCATCCGCCAAGGCCGCCGGCCGCAGCTGCAGCGGGAGTTTTCCAGCTTTCTCCGCCGCTCTCTCTGTCCAGCACCGGGCTGCAGCCGTGCTGCATGGTTTTTGCCCACCGATGCCAAAGTCAGCCATGCGCTTTCTTTCTCTTCCTGCGGCCATCATCGGCCGCGGCGCTCCCAGGCGAGCAACGGTAGCGCAGCGCAAACGTCTGAAGTGGGAGGGGAGGGGGTGAGGCGCCTTACGAGCCTGAACATATCCCTATCCCTAAGTTTGGCATCACCTTACCTCGGTGCCGATCTTAAGGATTCCCTCGGTTTGTGAGGACACATCCCTACTATTGTCATCGCCTTGGGGTTGCCGATCTCAGGGATAGGGATAAGGTTCAGGCTGGTTGGCTCGCCTCCTCAGCCGGGCCTGCCAGGTGCACCAGGCCTTCGAGCGCGTCATGACCTGCAGCGGAGGCCATATTTTCGCAGTGTGACTACGACGAGAACAGCGACGAGGACGAGGACGAGGACGACGACGAGGACTAGTACGACGACGATGACGACGACGATGATGGTGGTGGTTGGTGGTGGTGGTGGTGGTGACGACGACGATGACGATGACGACGACGATGATGAGGAGGAGGAATGTGATGAGGAGGAGGATGAGGATGAGGATGCTGTCGAGGATGAGCTGGGACCGCGGGGCTCTTCTCCCTCCTTTTTCTGTCCCCTCCCTCCGCCCCCCGTCCTCCTCCGCCCTCCTCTCTCCTCCTCCCTCCCTCCCAAGTCATCCCTCCTCCTTCATTCCCCAGTCCTCCTTCCTCCTTTCTCCATCCTAGTCGCTTCTCCTTCGGAAGCCTGCATGGCTGCCGAGGTGGGCCTCCCTGCACTCCCACTGCCATTGAAACCAGCAGCAATTCTACACCGCGGCGCCCTGCGTGCGTGTGCCTCATCCCCTCCAGGGTTACTCAACACGAGTACTATCCCCTCTTCTCGGATTCTGTGCCGGCGGGGCCCCCCCCTGTCTCCCGCAGACGGTCCTTGTCACGCATTGGCTTTCAAGCACTGGTGTCGCATATGTTTGTGCTGTCGGTCGGCTTCCCTGGATGCTTCAGAGTGGTTCACCGCTGCAGCCTTGGCCGCATTTCAGGATCGGCGCCGTGCTCCCCCCTCGTTCAGAGTGGCGCCCTCGCCCGAGCGCGGGCCACATCGATGGATCCGAGTCCCGCATTTTTCCCCCTCCCCAATCCGTCTTCCTCTGGTCCTCTTGCTCCTCCCGCTCCTCCTGCTCCTGCTCCTGTTGCTGCTGTTCCTCCTCCTCCTCCTCCCTCGCCTCCTCCCTCCTCCTCTTTCTCCTCATATTCCTCCAGCCCATCCTCCTGCTCATCCGCCACCTCCTCCTTCAGAGTCAACCGCTTCCCTTTCTGATCGCGCGTGCCACGGTGGCGTCATTTCCGGGGTTCCAGGTCCGCTGTTACCCCCGTCGGCGGGCAGAGACAACTCAGCGTTGTGTCAAGGCATGGGCGGAAGGGGTCGAATGCCAGATCTGGCGCGAGCGCACCTAGCTTGCCTCCGCCCTCTCTGATCCCCTCCCCTCCTCTATCGTCCATCACGTTCTCCCTTCCCCCTCCTTTCTTTTACCAGGGACGGCATCTCTTACCAGGGAGGTGGAGCGATGATGATGATGATGATGATGATGATGATGATGATGATGATGATGATGATGATGATGATGATGATGATGATGATGATGATGATGATGATGATGATGATAAGGATGACGATGATGATGATAAGGATGACGATGATGATGATGATGATGATGATGATGGTGGTGATGGTGATGGTGATGGTGATGGTGATGATGATGATGATGATGATGATGGTGATGATGATGATGATGATGATGATGACGATGATGATGATGATGATGATGATGATAAGGAGATGATGAGGATGATGATGATGATGATGATGATGATGATGATGATGATGATGATGATGATGATGATGCTGCTGCTGCTGCTGCTGATGATGATGATGATGATGATGATGATGATGATGATGATGATGATGATGATGATAATGATGATGATGATAGGAGGAGGAGGAGGAGGAAGAGGAGGAGGAGGAGGAGGAGGCGCAGGAGCAGGAGGAGCAGGATGAGGAGGAAGAGGAGGAGCAGGAGGGGCAGGAGGAGCAGGAGGAGGAGGAGGAGGTTAGGCACATGCGAGTAGGAGGAGGCGGAGGAGGAGGAGGAGGAGGAGGAGGAGGAGGACGAGCAGTTTATACAAGGACAAGGACTAGGACAAGGCGCTCGGAAGGTGACATCGGCGGCGGCAGCACCAGCGGCCGCAGCAGTGACGCTTCGGGGCCCTCTGCGAATTGACATGTGCAGGCCGGGCCCCTCTAGGGGGCCTGCTCACGGGAGCGGCTGGGGGTCCTCAGGGCCCCGAGCCGTTTCTGCTCAAGCGGGGTGGCGCACCCTCCGGGAGGAAAAAAGGCAGCGCACTGGAGGGGCAGGGGCCACACGTGGCCTGCCACTGCAGGCGAGGGGGAATCCCGAGGGAGGGCCGACGGCCAGAAGGGAGGGGGGGAGGCGGGGGGGCGGAGGCGGCACGAACGGCTGCGCCAGCAGGAGGGGGGGGTCGGGCGGCGCCGTGGGCGCCTGGAATTTGCTGTCGGCGTGCGCCCGCGCGCCGGTCGCCGCTCTCTCTCCTCCTCCCTCCTCCTCTGCCCCGTTCGCCGTGGTGCAGATGCAAAGGACTGAGGGGTCACAGGTTATGAGACGCTTGCTGCACTGGCACTGTGGTGACCTCATTGCTTCTGCTGATGGTTGTGGTCGGTCTACTCTAACCCATCTCGTGTCAGCGTGTCACACAGTATTGTACTCTAGTCAGGTTGTCCGCTTCCATTTGTATTCTTTCCTTGCCGCGTTGATGTTAGGTCGGAGGCCTGCGGTAGGTGGGTGGCTGAGGCCTGGGTTCTGGGACCTGGGGTTGGAGACCTGGGGTCGGAGGCGTCGGCTGCCAGCTCTGCGCCTGCGGGGGCGCGGGGTCGCCGCTGCTGGTGCTGGCTCCCTGCTTCTCCTTCTCCTTCTCCTTCTGCACGACGCTTTTCACCAGGGTCTTCGCCTCCGAGATCGTCTGAGCGATGACTTTGCTCCCCTCGCGCCAGCCGAGCTGCTTCTTCACCTCTGGGTCATTCATGTCGAGCTAGCCACAATCGATCCAGCCCATCTTCTTCCACTTGGACGGGCCGTTCCACGTAGACGGGTCGATCCAGCCGAGCTTTCCCACGTCGTCGGGTCGTTCTCGTCGATCTCGATCCAGCCCATCTCCTTCCATTTGGTCGGGTCGCTCTTCTGCCAGCCCATATTCTGCCACACCTTCGGGCTGTTCATGTCGAGCTTGTCGTCGTCGTTCCTTTTGTATGCATCTCACTTCTTCTCTTTTGGCTTGAACTGGGTGTTCTGGAAGAGGTCCTGGTTGGCGATCTCGTCGGTCTGGCGCTTCAGATACTCCTTGTAGTTCGGGAGCGTCTTGGGCAAGTAGCTGCCCATGTCCAGCACTGACTGCGCTTCCATCAATTTCAGGATGCTCTGCTTGATGTTGTTGACCTTCTTTCCAAGCATCATCTCCGTCTCACGCTTCGCCATCTTCTCCGCGCTGTTGTTCGCCTCTCCCAGCGTGGTCCTTACGATGCTGACCTCCAGTGCCTCCTTGATCGAGTACAGCTCCTCTATCTTGTCGTCGAGTGTGAAGAACACGTCGCCCATATAACTCGCAGCCTGCTGGAGGCTCTCAGTCGCTGTGCTTATCACGTGCACGTAGTCACCCATCTTCTGCTGCTCGCGCTCTCCTCTGTATATCACTGGCTCCACCATGGTGGGCAAGCTCGGCTTGGCCATCTGTCCCGCTGTCTATCTAGAGTGAGGCCGGCAGGCGCGAGGAGGAGAAGGGACGAGGAGACGGCAGGAGGACGTTCGATCCTCCTTCTCCTCCTTCCCTTCCCCCTCCCATCTTCTCCTCCCTCTGCAATGCGGGGGTGGCCCAAAGGCGCTATTCAAGGTGTGGGCAGCTCTTACGCATTATAGCACTTGCCCTCTGTCTCAACATCCCCTGGAAGTCCCTGAAGAGCATGGGTCTGTTGGAGCCGTCGGAGCAAGTCATGCGTGGGCGTATCGTGTCACATCCAGGGGATCGGGAGAGTGATGCCCCGCCCCATCCCAGAGTCCCGATTTTTAGAGGTGGCCGAGGCAGATCTGCGCGAGCGACATCCCAATGGGGAGGTTTGCTCTCGTCGGGACATTTATACACTGGAAGATGCCACATCGGAACACTGAGTAGGACATCTGATCAGGCCTCGCTTTCTGATGCTCCGGCGCTCCTGCGCCGCACCTGCCCATGTGTGGGCGTGCTTCCGTGCTTCCGTTCTTCCGTGCTTCCGTGGACGTCGGAGCGCCGTCAAGGCCAGCCTAGCACCAGTTCGGTTGTGATGCTTTCGGCGGGCGTTGGAGATCCTTCTTTCGGCGATACGTGCCCCTCCCCCCCCATCCCGCGTGGGCCCCAAGTCGCGCCGAGGGGCCCCAGCAGGGACCGTGTGCAGGACCTATGTCTACATGCGACTCCGCCGAGGCGCTGGGGGCCCCTTGCTTCCGCCGCTCGGAAAGGTGCGCGGGGAGTTTTTTTGTGCTTGGCCGCACGGCTTGAATTCCCGTCTGCGCCCCCGGATGTAGAATTCTTGACGCTTCGCGCATCCCCACCAGCCCATCCAAAAACGGACACCAGGCGAGTTGCCCTGATCAGGGATGTGTGGCGTCCTGGTTGGGTAGTTGCCTGTCGTTGGCTGCGGTGCGTGTGATACGTCGTGCGTTCCCAGGGCCGCCTTGGTAGAGTGGTTGCCTGTCGTTGCCCGCCGCGCGTGCGTTGCCTTGGGCGCGCGAACGCCGACGACGCGCGCGCTGGTCATCCAGCAAGCAGGGAGCGACTGCAGGCAACCGCTCAACCAGGGCAGCCGCGGAAAGCCCACGACGACGCCGACGCTTACGCCGACGCCGACGCTGACGCCGCCGACGACGCCAACGCCGACCGCGGCGCCGACGTCGACGCCGACGCCGACGCCAGTGCCGGTGCCGCCGCCGCCGCCGCCGACGACGACGACGACGACGACGACGACGACAGCAGACAAGATCAAAACCTTGGCAATCTTTCGCTCTGGGCGCCTCTGAAGGTTTCTTGGGGCCATCTTGGAAGCCTCTTCGGCCCTCTTGTGGCTTTCTTGGGGCCCTCTTGGGGCGCTCTGGGGGCTCTTTCGAGGCCATCTTGGAGGCCTTGGGGGTCTTTCTGGGGCCATCTTGGAGGCCATCGATTACAGGAGGGGGGCCGCAGATTTCGCCCCCCCCTATCGGGGCCCGAGCAACCGCCTCTAGGGGCCCTGTTGGGCCGCTCTTGGGGCGGTGTTGGGCGCTCTTGAGGCCGTCGTGGGGCCCTCCTGGGTCCCTCTTGGGGCCACTGTGGGCCAGCTTGGGGCCATCTTGAGGCCTCGAAAGCCCATCGGAAGAGAAACGGCAAAACACATGGGAAAAACACAGTGGTTTGGACGGAATTTGGCTTGCCAGGGGCCTCCTTGGGAGGCCACGTGGGTCCGTCCTGAGGCGATCTTCAGGGCTCTTGGAGTCATGTTCGGTTTTTACTTGTCAATATACGACAGTGTGCGCGAGATTGGTGCTCGGAAGGCGGGTGGCTCGCATCTGCATCATCATTTACTCATTGTCGTGGTGAGGGGGTGCCACTCACGTGAATCCCTTTCTGTCGTGCGCGCCATGGCTCCCCCTCACTCCTACGCGCCTTTGCGGGGGCTCTGGTCAGTAATTATTCGTCTGCACTCATTTCTACACAAGCGAGCTGGAGGGTTGAGGGCCTCAGCTAATACCATGGTCGTATGCTGCTGCTTAGCACAGTGCAAGAGGGCCTCTCAAGGACCCCTCCAAGCATGTCCCCAGAGATGCTTCCGGGGACATGATTCTAGCCCCTTGTGGACGTGTTCTCGGAGAGGCTTCCGGGAACCTGTTTATGCTCCCGGAAAATGAGGAAAAAGCGGGGCTATGTTTCGGAGAGTGCGTGGGCGTGGCATGGACTTCGCAGTGCATCGCATGTCTGTCTGTCAGCACGCACCTCCTTCGCAGCCACGCTGGTCCAGCATACTTCCCTGAATCTCCCGCCCGCCCTCGCCACAAGCGGGGGGGTGAGGGTGTCCCTCCTGAGACACGGGCTGGTCAGCCTCGCGGCCGCTCAGGCGTCGGCAATCCGCTTGCAGGCGCCTGCGGGCCACGCCGCCAGGACTCATGATGAAGATACATAATCTCCGATGTAGGCACCTCATGTAACGGTGGGTCCTCCAGCATCCTCTTCCTCCCTCCTCGTCCTAATCCTCCTGCTCCTCCCAATTCCTCCTTTCCCCTCACTCCTCTTCTTCCCTTCTCCTCCCCTTCCGTCTCCTCCTCCTCCTCCACCTCCTTCTCATCCTCCTCCTTCACTTCTCTCCTTCCCACTTCTCTCCTCTACCTCCTCCCTATCTCCTCCTCCACCTCCCCCTCTCTCTCCCCCTTCCCTGTCTCTCTCCGTCTCCTTCTTCTCCCACTACCTCTCTCCTTGCGTAGTCCAACCCCTCCGCGCCTCCCCCTTCTGGTCGTCCTCGTCCTTGTCCTCGTCGTCGCCATCGCCACCATCGTTGCCGCCGCCGTCATTGCCGTCGTCGTCCTCGCCGCGAGGCTCCTACGGCATGGCCCCTGGCGTGAACGACAGCGTGGCCGGAGCCGGCTGCAGCGTGGGCTGCCGGCCCTTCTGGGGGGGCTCTGCGAGGCGCCCGCGCGCGGGGGGCCGTCTTGGTCTGGGTCCCTTGGCATGCCCTGCCCTGCCCTGCCCTATGCTGCCGTGCCGCGCTTCTCGGTGTGCTGCTCCGTCTTGTCTTGCCTCGCGTCCCGTCGCCCGTGCCGTGCGCCCTGCGCATCGCTTCTCGCGTCTCGCGTCTCCCGCCGTGTGTGTGTGTGTTGGTCCCGTGCCCCGTGCCCTGTGTCTCGTGTCCTGTGCGAAGCTTCTCGTGTCTGGCGTCCTCCGGCGCGAGTCCTGTGCTTTGCGGTCTCTGTTCTGCGCCGCATGCCGCTCCGTTCGCTGCCCCGCTCTTGCGCGGCGGGTGTCCGACGGGCCTCCGCCGCTCCGGGCCACCTCGGCGCCGGGCATCGGCCAGGTGCCGACGTGCTCCCGCCCCTCCCTCCTCTGGCCCCCTCATCTGGGGGAGCACAGGCAGCGTCAACGACACGCCGCCGTGGGAACCTCATCAGCGCGGCACGGTCGACAGGACACCGTGCCCGCGGACAGAAGGGAAGGAGTCACGCGCCAGAGTGAGGAGAGCCGCTGTCGTCTCAGCACTTCAACACGTGGCCCCCCTCCTCATCGTCGTCGCCCTCCTGTTTCTCCTCCTCTTCCCCCCTCCTCCTCCTCCTCCTCCTCCTCCTCCTCCTCCTCCTCCTCCTCCTCTCCACCTCCTCCCCCTTCTCCTCCTCCTTCTCCTCCTCCGCCTCCTCCTGCTCCTCCTCCCCTTCCTCCTCCTCCTCCTCCTCCTCCTCCTCCTCTTCTTCCTCCTCCTCCTCCTCCTCCGCTCACGTGAGCGGCCGAGGGTGTGAGCGGGCGCGCGTGCGCGGCCGCTCGACCGCTTCTCGGTGGTGTCCTGCTGCCATTCTGACTCGAGCGGGAGCTCGCTGCTCGTGCGAGCGCGGCGCCCCCCCTCGGTAATCCCGCGGCCCTCCGCCCAGCCGCGCTCCCTCGGGAGGTCGCCCCCGCGAGGGGCACTGGACTTGCTGAGCTGATCGGCTGCTACGCGGCGGCTCTGCGGCGGGGCTCTCGGCGGCTCTGCGGCTCGCGGAGGCGGGGGCTCTCGCCACACTGCCGCGGGCCAGCGCGGCCTGCCTTCAGTGGCTGCTGGCCGAGGCTCACGCCCAGGTAGCAGGGGGAGAATTGTCCTCCCTGCTCCTACAGTCCCTTATCCTTCCTCCTACACTCCCTTATCCTTCCATTCCCTCCTCCTCCTCCTGCTCCTACACTCCCTTATCCTTCCATTCCCCACGGGAGGCGGCGCGCGCGAGAGATAACACGACGACGATGGACCCACTGACGACGGACGAGTGACGCAGCGACCACGACGGAGAACACATAAGGAATGACGAACGCAGGAGCCCTTCAATAATCTTTCAGAAACTCAGAGGAAGCCTTCAGGAATCCTCAGGCATCCGTAAGAGTCCCTCAGTAATCCTTCCAGGGTCCTTCAGGAATCACTCTGGAATCCGTGAAGGATCCCTCTCGCATCCGCTCGGAAAGCTGTAGGAATCCTCAATAATCCTTCCCCGAAAATCCATCATAAATCTTCCGAAATCATTCAGGGAGTCTCACGGTCTCCAGGAATCCCCAAGCTTCCTTCAGGAATCCATCGGGATCCGCAAGAACCCCTCAGGACTCTTTTTGGATCCTCAGGAATCCGCAAGGGTCCCTTCAGGAATCCCTCCTGAGTCCCTCAGGAATTCCTCCAGAAGCCTTCAGGATTCTTCCAAGAACCCGACGAGAATCCGCCACGAATCCTTCAGGAATCCGTCAAGAATCCCTCAGGAATCCGATGGGAATCTCTTCGGAATCTTCAAGAATCTTTTGTTAGGAATCTGGAAAAATCCCCGAGAGTCCTTGAGGAATGCCCCGGGATCCTTCAGGGATTCTCCAGAATCCGTCAGAGGTCCCCAAGAATCCTTCAGGAATCCTCAAGTACATGTCAGAAACCTTCAAGAATCCGAGGGATACTCAAGAATCCTTCAGGAATCTGGAATATGTCGAAGGGATCTTCAAGCATCTGTGAGGAATCC